AAAGAAAGATTAAATACCAAGTTAGTGTGACGATTAAGTCAAGACAATTCTAGGGACTTCCGTGGCGATCCAGTGGTTAAGACTCCACACTTCCAATGTAGGGGGCATGGGCTTGATCCCCGGTTGGGGAACTAAGATCCCACAAGTCATGTGGTGCGGCAAAAAAAAAAAGACAATTGTAGAACCATAGAGAATGAATGTTAAATTATCTCCTGTCTAGTTTTTCTTAGGAAGCTACTGGCCTAAGTGTTCCATCAAAACTAGAGAGTAAATTAAGAAAATGAAAGGTATTATACTCTGAAACTAGAAAACTAACATGAGAATGGTGAACTAAGTCCAGTATAATTGTAAAAGGCAAGTCCCCAAACAATATCTAGACCTAGAGAGCAGACCTAGAGAGCAACACCTAGAAGAGGAGGATAGAGGACTATAGTAAAGAAACTGACTACTGAGCGAAGAGGAGTTCAGATTAAAGAAACAAAGCAGCTTAGTAGGTCCCCCTTTTCACACTGTAAGCTTCTAGCTTGGAGCAAACCTGAGCTCAGAGAAAAGGCTTTAAATGAAATTTGCACATTATTATACTCAACTAGAGGTTGTAATTAGTAAAATGAGACTGATCTTGTGACTGAAAATAACCAAAGAATACCAAAGAGTGATCAAAACAATTATAAGGATTACACAAGCTTTTATTCAGGGCAACAAAAACATTAGCCAGAGTTGAGAGTGGAAATTATAGCGGAAAGAAAATCCTTTTGCTTGCTCCCTATGGAGTCCTGCTTATTTCAAAGTGTTGGTTATAAGTTGATTTGATTTTCCAGGTACACAGTCATAGCATCTGCAGAAAGTAATAATCTTACACTCTCTTTTCTAATTTTTAACCTAATTTTTCCTCTTGTCTAAGTGCTTTGGTTAATACCTACAGAACAATGTTAAATAACATTGGTAATGCTGTATACCCTTGTCTTTTTCTGATTTTACCTGGAATGTTTCAGATATTTCCTGATTAAACATTAGGTTAGCTTCTAAGAACAAAATTCATTTTATTCCTTTTAAAATTTATTTTCCACGACAGTATACTACCTCCCTAGAATTACTCCCATTAATATTGGGCAATAATCTTCATTACAGAGATGGTGAGTGTAATTAGAGGTTGATGGGGAAGGGGAATCAGATGCTCTGTTTGGGCTTCGGCAAAGGAGAATGGATTAGGAAAGACTCAGCCCTTTTCCGAAGAAATTCAGATAGAAAGGCCTTACACTGAACAGACTTGGGGAGACCGATTCTCATCCTGGTTTTCTTTGGCTCTGTACCAAACACACATTTTTAAAATTGAGAGTTCCAAATTTAGTTTCAGCTCCCAATTTATACCTTCAGAAAACACAATCCCTATTCTGAGTCCTCTACCTTGGTACACTCTAATTTTCAGATATGAGAATCATAAAGTGAACTGAGAGCCTTATGATTTGGTGAGCTCCCCAAGATTAGAAGTGTTGAAACATAACTGAATAAAGATATTTTTTTCTACCAGTTAGAGGAAGAACCCCAAAACTCTAGCTACCTGCCATGCCCTCCACTCCTGTCCTGAAACAAAGCAAAGTTCTTTTGCCTAATATTGCTTTGATTTTAGCTACAAGTATTAACTCTAAAAACCAAAAAGAGAGTAAGAGACCAAAAAAAAAAAAGGGGGAGAAATTATAACCTATGTATAATTAGAGCCTAAGAAGAAGAGAGAGGATGAGGCAGGGCAATCTTTTAAGATGGCTGAGGATATTCCTGAATACCTATCCACAAATTAAAAAAGCTTAACAAATTCCAAGCAGATAAATAAAAAGAAATGCACATTTAGGCACATCATACTTGAGTTACAGAAAGCCAAAAACAGAGTGACAGTCTTAAAAACAGCCAGAGGAAGAAAAGTCAAATTACCTCAAATGAGGAGCTAGAATAATTAAAAATAGGTTAAGTAAATAAACGGGATTATCGCTTTAAATATAAATATAGAATATTTACATAACCTTGGGACAGGGAAGGATTTCCTAAATAAGATACAAAAAGTTACCACCAAGGGAAAAAAAATTGATTAAAAATTAGGAGGACTTCCCTGGTGGTGCAGTGGTTAAAAACCCGCCTGCCAATGCAGTAGACACGGTTCAAGCCCTGGTCCAGGAAGATCCCACATGCTGCAGAGCAACTAAGCCTGTGCACCACAACTACAGAGCCTGCGCACCACAACTACCGAAGCCTGTATGCCCTAGAGCCCATGCTGTTAACTACTGAAGCCCGCGCGCCTAGAGCCCGTGCTCTGCAATGAGAGAAGCCACAGCAATGAGAAGCTGTGCACCGCAATAAAGACTCAACGCAGCCAAAAATAAAAAAATATATAATAAAAAAGTCAGATTTTATTCGTTAAACTACCTTAAGGGAAGTGATAAAACAATCCAGATAGTAGAAAAGTATAATCAATAAAGGATCCATATCCAGAAAATATAAAGAATTCCCATGAATCAATAAGAGATAATCCAGGGACTTCCCTGGTGGCGTAGTGACTAAGAATCCCCCTGCCAATGCAGGGGACACAGGTTCCTGGTCTGGAAAGATCCCACATGCCACGGAGCAACTAAGCCCATGAGCCACAATTACTGAGGCCTGAGCTCTAGAGACTGTGAGCCAGAATTACTGAGCCTGCATGCCACAACTACTGAAGCCTGCCCGCCTAGAGTCTGTGCTCTGTAACAAAGAGAAGCCACCGCAATGAGAAGCCCGTGCACCACAACAAAGAGTAGCTCTCCGCAACTAGAGAAAGCCTGTGCGCAGCAATGAAGACCCAACAGAGCCAAAAATAAAATAAATAAATAATTTATATATTAAAAAAAAGATAATCCAAGAGCAAAATAAAAGATTTCAACAGGTGTGTCACAAAAGAAGAAACGCTGATAACCAATAAACATATGAAGTGCTGTTCAATCTCATTATTAATCATGGAAATCGCAACTCAAACCTACATGCATCTGTGTATATGTGTGTTTGTACAAATAAATATTTTAAATAAGTGTTGAAAGATTTCATGTCTGACACAGCTCATCTGACGAATAAACCATAATTCATTCACAAAAAAAAAGTGTATCTTTGAAAAATGGTATTTACAAAGATCATTTGACAACACAGGAGAATGATACTTTTTAGTAAAAATGTAGGATATAAAATGATAAATGAAGCATAATCTGATTTCGGAAAAATAATGAAAATACACCAAAATGTTAACACTAGTTATTTGAGTGGTCTCATTTCATTTTTTCTTGGTAATCTGTGTTTTTAAAATCTCTAAAATAATCATGCTTTTATTTTAAAGTCATAATAAATATTGCATTTAAAAAGAACAAAATTTGGGACTTCCCTAGCTGTCCAGTGGTTGGGACTTCGCCTTCCAACGTAGGGGGTGCGGGTTCGACCCCTGGTGGGGAAGCTGGGATGCCACATGCCTTGCAGCCAAAAAACCAAAGCATAAAACAGAAGAATATTGTAACAAATTCAATAAAGACTTTGAAAATGGTCCACATCAAAAAAAAAATCTAAAAATATTAAAAATATAAAATATAAAAATAAAAAGAAGAAAACATGGCAAACTGAAGTGGAGCCATTTTCCAAATAAGTAAACATTAGGTATATGGGAGTTATTGTGCTTCAGTAGCAGGCTCAACTATCCTTTTCTCCAGTGGGAAAATTATAGGAACCTATAATCAAACGGCATCTTTATTAAGCATTAACTTTCAGAAGAACGAAAGAAAAGAGGAAACCCCAACATACCCTGAAAACTGCTTGTATAAGTTCAGCATGCATTGTTTCCTTCTCTTCTGCGCCTCACCTGGAGAAGGATAGAACTTGGAAAGTAGAAAGTCATCGTAAGACACCTGGTTCTTCTTGTTGCTCAAACTGGTCAGGTCACAGGTCAGCCCCATCCCCATCCCCCAGCACAAAAGCGAATGAGATCAGAGGAATGGGGTGTCCCTTCCAATCCCAGTGTCTCAGAAGAAAGCTGAGGTTACTGCTGTTGAGGTCAATAATCTAACAAAACCTCACAGAGATTTCCTAAGGACAGAGTTCTGGAGTAACAATCGCACAGCTGACAGGAGCCTCATACCCATATACACAGTGCCACATACCTTAAGCAGTCATTCTTAAAACAAGGGAACACGCACTCCACATCCGCACACAGAGCCAAACGTGGTATCACAGATACAATCGCAAATTCAACACGGAATACATACACTCGCGCAGTCGCAGGTACCCCAGTGTCGCGGGGTCACAAGCACACACCACCATAGGGGGACACAGTCACAATTCCACAATGATAGGCATCCTATATCTGCACACGGGTCGCATAACCTCCCCCTTCTCACGCCGCTCCGCCCGCACAGGCGCAAGTACCGAGCTCCATATCGGCCTCCGGTCTCCTCAACTTAGGCCTTTCGGGTCCCCGGGGGTCCGAACCTGCAGAGCTGAACCAGTTCCCCCAGGGGCCCACGATCTCACCTCAAGGATCTAACGCTCCCGCCAGGCGTGATGAAAAGTTTGAGTTCCCGCGAGAAAAGCGACGGGCTGCCGGGCCCTCTGGGAAATGTGGTCCACAGCGAGCCCCACGGCCGATTCCTCTCAGCGCCCTCGCTGCGTCCACCGGAAATGACTGCTCCTGCAACTTCCAGAGTTTAGCCAGGTCTCAGAGTTGCAGTTCGCGGTAACTCGGCACGCTCGGGCTCAGCCACCAGAACAGACCTAGCCCACCCGCCTCCCTCACACAGGAAACTCCGGCTCCGTTCTGGCCGGAAGTTGAGTCGGGCCATGAGGGCTTCTGGGAGGTGTTGTGTAGTGGAACTTCCGTTGGGAGGCGGGCGCGGAGGGTTGGTGCGGCATTACCGGCACCTGGCCCGGGCCATCGTGCGTGTCACCTTCACCCAGCCTCCCAGAAACTGCGCGCTAGATGCGCACTCGGGCGTTTCCGGCAGGTGACGCTACCGCGTCCCCGGAGCGGGACTTGAAGGAGGGCCTCAAGCAATCTGGGCTGAACCGGCGCGCGCCGCTGACGGGGCGGAGCCTATAAGGAGGCCCCGAGGATCTGGAGTAGTGGCAGTGCAGAGTGCTCGGGGTGGGAGTACGCTCCTGGAGCGTGGCTGGAGTTGTTAGAACAAGAAGCTGGTGGAGAGTTAGTGTGTGTGTGATTATGATGGTCTGTGAGGTTGTGATCCTGTGTGTATGTGATTGTGATGATGCGACAGTGATGGGGGTGTGGTTGTGTTGAGTGTGGTGGAGTAATTGTGATGGGATATTTTTGTCATGGTGATGTTTGTAATTGTCTGTGATTTATGATAACGTGTGTGGTGTTGTCTCTGATTGTCAGGTAGATGTGCAGTGTGTGTGAGTGTGGAGGTGTTTGCAATTGTGATATGTGTAGTGGTTCTTGTCTTACCACATTTGACTTTTGTGTAGCCTTTGGCATAATTGGTAACCGCTTGAAAAAATTTTCTGTATTTGGTTTCACGTGGTCTTTCCTCCCCACTGGCTACTCTTTCTTAGTCCCCTTTGCTGCCCTTTTTTCCCCCCAGCAGTTCTTGGCCCGGTTCTGTTGCTCTCCAGTTTCCCTTGGTGATCTTTTCCAGTTTTATTATTTCATCTTCCTGTGTCTTCTTTTATTATATGTATTAGTTATTGTAATCATAATAATGCTGCCTAACAAACCACTCTTAAACTCAGTGGCATGAAACAGCAAGCATTTATTCTCCTGTTCACAGGTTTGCAGGTTCTGTGTTCAGCTTATCTAGGCTGGGCTTGCCTGGGTGGCTGGACTGCAGAATCGATTGAAACCTGCTCCACGTGTGTTCTTTCTGCAGCTCAGGCTAAAAGGACAGTGGTTACCAGGACGTGTTCTTCTCCTGGTAGATCACCAGAGTGCAAGACTGATCATAAAAACACCCTTAAAAACCTCTGCTCCCAAGTATACTAATATTAGGTTAGCCAGAGCTATTCAGGTGCCTCAGTGTAACATTAATTACACGCAGTCAGAAGGCAAGGCAGAGTTAAATGGCAAAAAGTGTGAATATGTAATCCTCTTAGAAGGGGGTGAAACATTGGGACCAAGATTCCAATCTACGACAATAAGAAACATGCCTCTTTATCTTGGTGAATGTCTTTTGGTCCATGTTCTCTTTTGTCTGATAATATTGCTTTTCGTGTTTTGTTATTGTATTTTCCAGGAATTTCATTTTACAACCCCTTCCCTTTATGTCTTTATACTTCAGGTCTGTCTCTTGTTAAGAGCATATTGCTGGGCTTTTCCTCTTTTTATCCTGTTTGACTGTTATTTTAATAGGTGAGTTTAATTCATTTACATTTATTGTGATTGCTGATAAAAATTTGTTTTATGTTCTATTATGCCTTCTTTTTTATTGTGCAGGTTTACCTTACCCCATTTCTTTCTCCAATGCTTTGGTTTCTTATCCTTGAATTTTTTAAAAATTAATTAATTAATTTTTGGCTGTGTTGGGTCTTTGTTCCTGCGCGTGGGCTTTCTCTAGTTGTGGTGAGCGGGGGCTACTCTTCGTTGTGTGCTGCGCGGGCTTCTCATTGCAGTGGCTTCTCTTGTCTCAGAGAACGGGCTCTAGGGCATGCGGGCTTCAGTAGTTTTGGCTTGTGGGCTGTAGAGCGCAGGCTCAGTAGTTGTGGTGCATGGGCCTAGTTGCTCCGTGACGTGTGGGATCTTCCTGGACCAGGGCTCGAACCCGTGTCCCCTGCATTGTCAGGCGGATTCTTAACCACTGTGCCACCAGTGAAGCCCTCTTATCCTTGAATTTTTAACATACATGTTTAACAAAACCCTAACTTAAGATTTTAGAACACTTGCCAACTCCAAACTACCCACCCATTTCTATGTTATTCTTATCTGATATTTTGCTTTCTTCTAATTTCAATTACCCCAAATTAGTATTTATTCATTTGCTCAATATGTACAGCTGACCTTTGAACAACGTGGGGGTCCGATTCCCTCCTCACCCCTTGCAGTCAAAAATCTAAGTAGAACTTTACAGTTGGCCCTCTGTATCCTAGGTTCTGCAGCTGCAGATTCAACCAACCTCAAATCGTGTAGTAGTACTGTAGTATGTATTTACTGAAAAAGAAATCTGCCTGTAAGTGGACCCACGCTGTTCAAACCCATGTTGTTCAAGGGTACACTCTGTGTGTGTGTATTTTTTTAATTGTGGTAAAATAGAGATAACATCACATGACATAAAATTTGCTATCATAATATCTGTACCCCTATGTTCATTGCAACAATATTCACAATAGCCAAGATATGGAAACATCTATCCATTAACAGATGAGTGGGTAGAGAAAATGTGGCATATATGTACATTGGAATATTATTCAGCCTTAAGAAAGAAGGAAATCCTGCCATTTGTGACAACATGGATGAACCTTTAGGACATTATGCTAAATGAAATAAGCCAGTTACAGGACAAATACTACATGATTCTTTTACATGAGGTATTGAAAATAATCAGACTCAAAGAAGCAGAGAGTAGAATGGTGGTTGCCAGGGGCTGGGAGAGAGGGAAATGGGGAATTGTTTTCCAATGGGTACAAAGTTTCTGTTATGTAAGATGAATAAGTTCTAGAGCCCTGTACAACATAGTACCTATATTAACAAAGTGGTATTATGCACTTTAAAATACGTTGAGAGTAGATCTCGTGTTAGCTGTTCTTACTGTAAAAAAACCACAAAACACAAGGAAGTTTTTGGAGGTGATGGATATGTTTAGTACCTTGGTTATGGTACTGGTATTAACAGATGTATGCATATGTCCAAACTGATCAGGATATATACATTAGATTTGTGCAGTTTTTTGTGTATCAGATATACCTCAATAAAGGCAAAAAAAATACACAAAAATTTTACCATCTTACCAACGATTTTTAAGTGTTCAGTTCAGTGGCATTACATCCATCATGGCTGTGCCACCATCACCATCTGTTTATCCATAGAACTCTTTTTATCTTGCAAAACAGAAACTGTACCCATTAAACAATAACTCCCCATTCCTTCAGTCTCCCAGCTCCAGACAACCACCATTCTACTTTCTGTCCCTATGAATTTGACTTTACCTCATTATGTACTCCGTGTACCAGATCTTACAGCATTTGTCCTTTTGTGACTGGTTTATTTAACGTAGCATAATGTCCTCAAGGTTCATCCATGTTAAAGCATGTGTCAGAATTTTCTTCCTTGTTAAGGCTGAATAATATTTCATTGATTGTATATACCACATTTTGTTTATCCATTTATCTGTCAATGGACAATTGGATTGTTTGTTTCTTTTGACTATTGCAAATAATGCTGCTACAAACGTGTGTACAAATACCTGTTTGAGTCCTTGCTTTCAGTTCTTCTAGGTATATATCCACAAGTGGAATTTATGGATCATATAGTAATTCTATTCTTAATTTTTTGACTGCCATACTGTTTTCCCTAGTGGGTATACCAGTTTATCAACATTTTTTGGGCACCTACTATCAGTGGCAAAAAGACAAAAATAAATCCCTGTTTTCATGTATTTTATATGAGGGGGTGGAAAGACAATATGCATGATAAATTATATAATTTGTTAGTGATAATTGCCATTCAAAAAAAAATAGAAACTGTGTGAGGGACAGTAGGAGTATATCCCAAGCATAACACTTCTCAAAATTTATTATAATTGAATGTTTTCTGTTTTATTATTTCTTTTCTGTCATTCAGAGTAAGGATTAGTCTACTCTCTTGTGTATCATTTTTTTCACCATAGATGATAAATTAATGTCATGTGACAATGTCACTGTGACATGAGTATAATTCTCATTTCAAATGATGAGTATGGGAGTTCTGTGTTACAACTCTCGTTTATCTCAGTTGTCAAGATAGATAGGAAATAGAATAGCTGGACTTTTAATGCACCTCTCTTTCACACTAGATCTGGGGTTGATGAAAATCTGAATGTTTTTTGACTCAGCTTTATATCTGTCACTGCATCAGGCCTACATCTTTATGCTCACAAAAGATATTTGAGGAGCAGATATTATGTGAACATCACTATTGTATTCACTTTGTTTCTAAAATCTTGGTGTTTCTATTGGTTCAACCTGAGTTGCTGAGTCTTTGAGTTTTCTTCCAGACTCCTGCTGTCTCAGCATCTCTGGTCAGTGACTCCAGGGACTGTGAATTACAAGCAAGGAAGCTAATTGTTTGGGACTGTATTAATTATCTATTACTGTGTAATAAGGTACCTCAAAATTTAGTGGCTTAAACAAAAATAAACATATATTAAACAACAATAAACATTTATTATCTCAGTTTTGGGGGAGTGGAGAGTGACTTAGCTGGGTATTCTGGCTCAGATATTTCATGAAGTTTCAGTCAATTGCTGGCAGTCATCAGAAGGCTAATGGGGACTGGAGGATTTGCTTCCAAAATGGCTGGCAAATTGGTGTTGGCTGCTGGCACAAGCCTCTCCTAAGGCTTGTTGAGTGTCTTCGTGGCATGGTGGCTGGCTTCCTTCAAAGTGCGTGATTCAAAAATGTGCAAGACAGAAACCATATCTTTTATGATCTAACCTTGGAAGTCACACACTGTCATTTCTGCAAGATCCTATTGGTTATGCAGGTCAACTCTATTCAGTGTGGGAGGGGTGTATGAAAGACATGAATACCAGAAGACAACGATCATTGGGGGCCACCTTGGAGGCTGGTTCCCATAGGATCCAGTGAGAAGACATCAGGTAAATTGGATTTATATCATAAGCCCACAGGTCCTGGCTCCACAAAGATAAGACAGATCTGTGATGTGAGGATAAAGAACAGTGAAGAGCAGGTATCTATCATGGAAGGAGACCTCCTGATCTGAGACCCTCCCTGGAAGCTGGGGAGTCCTGAGATAGAGTGGACCCTGGAATTGCTAGATGTGCACCCTATCTTAACCCCTCTGTTTAGAGTGGGAAAGGCCTGAATGACATCTCAACCTTCAGAGATCAGCAGTAGCTGTGTGACAATGGAGCATTTGACCCAGATGATGGAAGGGACAGGTGAGGTGGCTCAGAGATGGGCAGAGTTTAGGAGAGAGTCTGTAAAAAGAGTTAGGAAGTTCAGTACTCCTACCAAGAAAGTTCACAAGTTATTGACTGTGTTGACCTTTGTTTTTTATTTTATTCACTTGACAACTGTTTTTTAAAATAAATTTTTAATATAATTCGTATTTTTCTTATATACATTTAGATTTTTTTTAAAGTGCTGTTAAATATATAATTGTAAACAAAAGTTTCCTGTTCCATTCCTTCCCATACCCTGTTCCCACTACCCATAGGCAATTACTTGGAACATTTTTTTCTGGATATTCTGGTATTCAGCTCTGCTTTCCTGAATAACATCCTCATACTGCTAATGTTTGATTTCAGTTTTAGATATTTCCTATTGACTTTTGACAGTAGAAATAAAGATTTATCTCTCTTTTCTATCTAACCCCTTCCTCATCACCCTCACCCCACCCCGACTCCCACCCACTCTTCTCCTTGCCCTTGTTTCTAATATGGTGTTTTGTTCGAGGTTGAAGGTTGACCAAATGTCAGGATCTGTATGCATTTTCTTTTGAGCTAGTCAGTTTTCCCAGCAAGAAGTCCTAGATTGTTTGAGGAGTATAAGCCAGGATTCCTGCTTTTGGGAGGCAAAGAAAGGAAAAAAGTTGAGGGGAACACTTCATCTTTCAATCTGACAGCTTTTACTTAATTCCCTTATTTTCTCTACATTGCTTCAACCCCACCTTGTATGTACTTCCCTGTTTTTCAGCCCCACCCCAAACTCCTGCCTGTAAAAGTACCTAATACCTCCATTCCTGAGCCTTTCAAGTGTTCTGCCATGGTTTCCCCACCCTCGCTTAAGCTTCATCTTTCTCTAAGTTAGAAACCAGTCATTTGCTCTCTATCTTTCAGAATTTTGTTGATATCTCTTTTCCGCTAAAATCTTCTGTATTCTTTGTCCTTGTGAGATTGTTTCTTTCGTTTTGGTTGTGTTTCAGAGAGAGCAGAAATAAATGCAAGTATTCAGTCTTCCATTTTTAACCTGAATTTTTTAGGGTAAAAAATAAGTCAATTAAGTTATTTTAAAATGTCTTTAGAATTATAACTGCATTTCATTCCATCATACGAATGTTCCACAATGCCTGTAACCTGTCTCTGATTAAAGTTTTTTCCAAATTCTTTACAGTGCTTCATAAATAATTTAATCCTTAAATCTTTGTGGTATTTATTATTATGTACTTAAAAAATCTCCTATTAGGAATAAAATAGCAGGAAACTAGGGAAATAGATTCATTGGGCACCCTAGACTTAGCCCTCCAGAAATTCCCATAGAACTCTATATGATTAAATTACAAGCCATCTATGTACATTTCAGTGTCTCTGTAGCCTGGTGGTGGTTAATATTTCTCAAAGCTCTGAGGATCATTATAGGTGATCTTACAGCTGATGCTGAAGATTTCTCTAGTCCTTTATCTGGGGCTCTGAAGTAAACAGATTTTTATTTCTCTTTCCTCAGCTTGGTGTTCTCCAGATTCTGCCCTTTTCAAGGAAGAAGAGGATATGACCAGTTCTCTTGTACGTTATGGGTTTTTTTTAATTTATTTATTTTTGGCTGCGTTGGATCTTCGTTGCTGTGTGCAGGCTTTTTCTAGTTGCAGCGAGCAGGGGCTACTCTTCGTTGTGGTGCACGGGCTTCTCATTGCAGTGGCTTCTCTTGCGTAGCACAACCTCTAGGCATGCAGGCTTCAGTAGTTGCAGCACACAGGCTCAGTAGTTGTGGTGCACGGGCTTAGTTGCTCCACGGCATGTGGGATCCTCCCAGACCAGGGCTCCAACCCGTCTCCCCTGCATTGGCAGGCAGATTCTTAACCACTGTGCCACCATGGAAGTCCCTTCTGTATGTTTTAAGCATTTATTTGTTTCCTGCGTTATTTTACAATGCAGTTGCAGTGGGTTACCTTAACCTACCAGTAAGTTGGAAAAAACTAAATCAAAAATCAAGGTGAGGAAAAATACAGCTAGAAGGTCAGAACCTGGGGAAATTTGACATGTGGCTATGCAGAAACAGGTCCATACAGGATTATAAAACTTGAGTTCAAATTTGAGGGACTTCCGTGGCAGTCCAGTGGTTAAGACTTTGCCTACCAATGCAGGGGGTGAGGGTTCAATCCCTGGTCAGGGAGCTGAGATCCCACATTTCTCATGGCCAAAATACCAAAACATAAAACAGAAGTAATATTGTAACAAATTTACTAAAGACTTTAAAAATGGTCCACATAAAAAAAAAATCTTTAAAAAAAATTTTTTTGAATACGATCTGGAGAAACAAAAGCAAACTGAGACATAAAGTTCATCCCATAACTTGCACTACTTATGAGGAAAAAGCTTATAATTCAGGACAGAAAAAAGCTTTTCATTGGCACTTAGGTCAAAAAGAAATCCAAAATAATTCCATAATTCTTATGATTTTAAGCTCAGTTTATTAAAAGTCCTTCTTGGCCATAGATTAAAAACTAGAATTATTGGGAAGAGTAAATCGAGTACTTCTTTCAAACGATCCTCCATATATATTTCTTTCAGTTGAGACTTTTTAAGTTGAGCTAAAATATATACTAAAATTCTGTGGCAGAATTTTTTATAGTTCTGGTATCTATAACTCTCCACATCTTTTTTTATGGTCTCAAAATATACAGTATTCTTCATCTTCTTACAAAATGACTCATTTTCCTCTGCTGTTGATTCTTTTCATTTCCAGCACTGGAATTCCTCACACTCCTGTATTTTAAATATTTTCCACTACCTCTTTTTCCTCAGCTCATATCTTTTCCATCCTGAAACACACACACATTTCTATTGACCACATGATTGTGCGGCTTATCCAGTTATTTCTCCTTTTGGCAGAGTGGTTTTCTGGGCCTAGACAGACTTGGGTTCAAATCTTGGCTCAGTGAGAGTAAGTGCATGATTATGGGCAAGTTTCTTAATCTCTTTGTCCTTAGTTACATCATCTGTAAATGGGGATAATAATAATACTTACCCCATAGGAATATTGGGAGGGTTAAATGCACATAGTAAGTGCTCCATAAATGCTAAATATTGTTAATAATTATTAGCTATATAAATCTTTCTACCTGAAAAGGTCTTTGAATGTGTTTGCTGTATTCATTGACCTACTTTTTTAGTTTAACATATGAAACTGATAAGATAAAAGAGTAGATGCCTCATTTGTGTTCACAAAATTAATCCTTCTCTTCAATGAAACTACCATAAACACTGTAATAAGGCAAAACTGGGAACAGTTTTTGTAATACATATGCAGAAATATACTAACAATTCTTAAAAACCAACAATTAAGAAAATAGAAAATTGGGTGGAGAACATGAGCAAGCAGTTGGAAAAAATGGAAGTGGCAATAAATATTTTAAAATAAAAATGTCACAAAGAAACAGACTATTCAGATTTGTAGATACATTTTTAGGTGTATTTTGAATTAGTGGGTAATGACCATCTTTCATGAGAGGATTCCAAATAATTAGTTCACATGTGAATTTTCCTTATAAAGTAAAAAGCTAGAGATAAGGAGTTGTGATCTACAAATAGGACACTCTGTTAGCTTTCAAAAACTTCATTCAGTTCCTTTCAGACACCAGAGCCAGACATCTTGGTCTGGACTATCAAACAGAAATGGACTGCCTATGTTTCTGGGCATTCATTCTAGAATATGGATGTAAATATATTACATGGCAGCTTTTATTTATATTTGAATAGACTACACAGCAGCTAGAAAAATCTTCTACAGCAATAAGTATAATAGCTTTATTGAGTACCTATTATGTGCCAGGTATATTGTGCTATAAGCTTAACGTAGCTTATTTCATGTAATCGTTATCAGAAGTTTGTAAAGTAGATATTATTTTCATTTTTATAGAGAAAGGAAGTGAAGCACAGAGATTAAGAAACTTACATAAATTCATGCATCAAGTGTGCAGTAAAGCCAGGATTCAAACCCATACAACCTGACTCTAGGACCACAGTCTTATGATACTGTACAAATGGAAATCCACTCATGAGTGAAGAAATGCAAATTTTGCCAATTGACTGTTCATATTATTTGTCCATTTTATGCCGTTAGTCCTTTTTCTACTTGAAATTAAGGGATTTTAAGAATGCCTGCTTCAGCATTAGGATTTATGCAGATATCTTCTTCTAATTTGTCACTTATATGTTATCGTGTATCTTTTGTTGTATATAAACTTTAAATTTGGGTAGTTTCATCTAGCATATGATAAGTTTGTGCATACAGTAATAATTCAGTCAAAATTAATATGCAACATTAATTTTTATTGTTGTTGTTAAACTTGGGAAACATTTATTTTTACTTTCCCATATCAGCAATCATGGATATAAGTGGTTAAATCTTGTATCTCCTCAGGAAGACATAGCACTGTTGAGTGACTATTACATCCCGTGGAGAACTTCAGTCTTTGGTCACAGCATTAAGAGCTCCTGGTTTTGGTTCCATAAGCCCTCTTTGAAATGACGTATGCAACATTAATGTTTAATAGTCTTCTTTCATGAGTTTCTAATGTTGGTATTTTATAAGATATCTTTCCAATTATTATGTTATAGTTTCTTTTCAAAGATTTGCTTTTCATATTTAGTTTTTGATCCAACTGGAATTCAATTTTGTAATTGGTCCAAGGTAGGAATTTGCTGATAATTATATCAGTAAAATTATTTTTGCATGTAGGCGACCAGTGTTCCAATACCATTTGTTAAATAGATCTTTACTTTGTGATGCCACCTTTATAATATACATGCTTAATTGTTTCTAGGCTCTTTGTTTTGTTTCTTTAATCTGTTTGTCTACATCTATACCAGTACTATGCTCTGTGTGTGTGTGTGCATGTGTGTGTGTATGTGTTTACATTGTCTTAACTACTTTAACTTTATAATAACCCTGTTTGCTTGGCAGGCATTTCCCCACTTCCCACTACACAAATGTTCTAGTTTTAAAAAATTTCCTCAGCTACTTTGGGACCTCTATGCTTTCATTTGAATTTTAGAATCAGTTTATCTAGCTCTAAGGAAAAAACGCTGTTGGGATTTTAATTGGAATTGCAAAGAATTGTAGACTACAGACTTCCTGACTTACATCCTGATAAAACCATCATAATTTGAAAATATCATAAATTGAAAATACATTTAATACACCTAACCTACCAAACATCATAGCTTAGTTTAGCCTACCTTAAATATGCTCAGAACACTTACATTAGCCTTCAGTCATCTAGCACAAAGCCTATTTGATAATAAAGTGTTGAATATCTCATGTGATTTATTGACTACTGTACTGAAAGTGAAAAACAGAACAGTTGAATGAATATAGAATGGTTGTAAGGGTGTATTGGTTGTTTACCCATGACATCACATGGCTGACTGGGAGCTATGGCTTGCTGCCACTGCCTGGCATCACCAGAGAGTATCATACCACATAAAGCTAGCCTGAGAAAAGATCAAAATTTAAAATTCAAGGTATCTATGTTTTCTGTGTGTATCACTTTTGCACCATTGTAAAGTCGAAAATTCCTAAGTCAAACTGCCTTAGGTTGGGGACTGTCTGTAATTGGAGAAGAATTGAGTGAAACATTTTTTTCTGTCTATCAGAAAGATGTTTCAATTTAAGGAAATCCATTAATATAATTTATCATATTCAAAAAAATATATAATCAGGGCTTCCCTGGTGGCACAGTGGTTGAGAGTCCGCCTGCCGATGCAGGGGACACGGGTTCGTGCCCCGGTCCGGGAAGATCCCACATGTCGCGGAGCAGCTGGGCCCGTGAGCCATGGCCGCTGAGCCTGTGCGTCCAGAGCCTGTGCTCCACGACGGGAGAGGCCACAACAGTGAGAGGCCTGCATACCACAAAAAAAAAAAAAATATATATATATATATATATATATGTATATATATATATATATACATATATATATATATAAAATCAGCTCCACAAAGCTACTAATTTTTTTAAAATCAGAATTTGAGAATTTTTAAAGAGGATCTATTTATAAAATAGAAGTAAATGGACACTTCCTTAACATGATATTTAAAAAATTATTCTACAAAAAAAAAAAAATTATTCTACACACATACTAAGCTAAAGGCCAGAACCATGTTTCCTTCAGGAAATGATACATATTCCTACTAAAGTCAGGAACATGACCAGATTACTCATGTACCACATTTATTTACTATAATTCTATATGCATATAGAAAAGAAAAAAAAGATAAACATTGGGAAGGTGCATACAAAATTGTATCTAGGTGATACAATTATGTATGTGGGCAGTTGAAGAGGAAACAAGAGAATTCAATACAGTATGGACACAAAATTAATATACAGAAATCAACAACATTTCTATATACAAACCACCAACCAGTTCAAAAGTAAAATGGAAGGTGGGAATCCCTGGTGGTCCAGTGGTTAGGACTCGGTGCTTTCACTGCCATGGCCCAGGTTCAATCCCTGGTCGGGGAACTAAGATACTGCAAACCTCACGATGCAGCCAAAAAAAAT